GTAACCGCATCCACCCCGTTGAACCTTTTCCAAGCACACATCATGTGCTGCGGGATGGCAGAGCCCTTGTTCACATCACACGATGGGAGTCCTTCCCCCCACATCGGGTCACTTCGTGGGGTAGAAGAAAGGTATGAGGTACAAATTAGCAGACCAGTACTATTCAGTGTGATAAAGAGACAATGGTGGTATGTAACAGAGGTCGATAAGATCATGAGGTACATGGAGAAGACAAATTGGGATAACTGTTCACTGATGTCTCTGCTACATGGACAAGGGGTCTCGAGTGAAGCTGGCAAGCAGCAACTTCAAAACCAAAGGAGCTGTCTCGTCATACAATGCTCTCCATCATAATTCAGCCCTGAAGTCCCTCGCTGCCAGACATTGCAGACACTAGAGGTTTGCACGGGTTCAAGAAGGGATAACGTCATGAAAGAGAAAGATGCTGAAGGTCACGGCATACAGATGGCACCTCTGACTGGGGAGGCTGCTGGGCCGCAAACCACTGATGGGAAGGAGAGGTGACATTATGGACCTTCTTTTTGTCGTTTTTGCACACAAGTCTAAAGAAGTGCTTTGCTGAGAAGCACAAGTACCTTATCCTGAGCCACTTAGTCTGACGTATCATGTAATCATCTCAGCACTCAGCATAATTATTTCAGCGTTTCCAGTGAAACAGTAGTTGTACCGCAGTTAAGGCTCAAGTTGGCATAATAATGAAAAAATCAAGTTTAACTTTCACACATGGATGCTCCCTGTGTGGGGACAGATTTTGAAATTTTCTCTCTTCCATCTCAGCCAGGGAAGGGGAAAGCAGTCTTGAGAAATGATCGGAAAAGATATTTTAACATTATGGCATTTTAGTTTGCTATTACAGCAGGTCTGTATTTGCATGGCATGGCCCAAAAACCTCGATTTTCTGTGGTGACCACAGGGGCTTTGCTTTCAGAGAAAATGCTATACAAGGGAATTTTGCCTGAGTAAGAGTTACAAGGCTTACCTCTTACAAGGCTTACTAAACTTACATTTAGTATATATGCAGTTTCGGTCTCCATTTTAAGCTAAAAGGGCTTCTTTGCCTTCTCCAGGGCCAGACTCCCTGGATGGTGCTGGGTTTGGCCCAAAGTGATTGATATGGTTGCCATTCATTCTGGATGTAAGTGCCCAAAGCTAGGCACCTAAATCCATAACCTTAGATCCAAAATCCCTCTCTCAAGGTCCCAGGAGAAGCCAACAATGAGATTTCCGTAATAAGCTTACTGATATCTCTTGCTTTGCTGGTGTTTGCCCGTGGGAAACCCATCACCAGAGAGCCGGGGCCGGTCGTTTTGGAGCCAGTTGAGAGTCAAGCTTGGCAAGCCCCCGTCCAGCCCTGGCGTCCCACCGCCCATCATACATTGGCTCATGCAAGAGCGACCGCCTCTGCCCGCCGGGGACGTGGGATGCCCTCGGGGAGCAGCTGACAGGCCACTGTCATGGCCCATGTTTAATGTACATGAGCGAGAAGCAAGCAGATTAATGCTCCTCTGACAACAGCAGCAGAGAAAGCATGTCAGACCCATTATGCAGACAGGGATGTGTCTTACTATTAGGAAATTCCTCATGACAGAGATAAAAGCTTAAAAGAGAGGTAAAGTGCTAGTGGGGGGCAAAGTAGCACCTCGAATAAGATCCAGCTTAAAAAAGATGAGCAAGAGCCTTAACTGTTCTCAGTCTGTGCCACTTCTTCTTCTTTTTTTTTTCTGCAAGACTTCTCATTACTTATAGTCCTTTAGGCCAGGATTCAGCGAGGACTCGCCCCCTACTAGACTTTCGGTATGAGAGTCACCCCATGCTGGTCCGGGGAAGGTGCCCTCTCCGGCAGCACTCGGGAGCAGGCGGTGGTACCCTGCTGAACGAGGGGCGCCGGACGGATGCTTTAGCTGAGCCTTTTGGAGCTGATGCGTCACTCGCCGCTTGGCACGTCGCAGCTGCCCTTCCCTGTTTCGCTGTAAAACTGGATGAGCATCTACTTTACACGGAGGCTGGGAGGATTTCCAAAGTGCTGAAAAAGGGAAACTGTGGTACTTAAGAGCTGTTTTTTTCAACAGCACTGATTTATTTTGAGAGTTACTCTGACTGGACATGTTTAAAAAAGGACAATACGGAAGCAACTCAAAGACTTACACATTTCTAAAAAATGTAGATCCGCATGTTACTTTTATGAAAGGCGGTTGCTCCATAGCTAAACATGAGGCTGGAGGAGAATGAAAACATAAAGCTAAGGAGTGGGTGGAGGGGCTGCATTTCATTCTCTTAAATGTGATCAATATTTGCGGCCGCGCTTACTCCAGTCATCTTCAACGCACAGAAGAAACCAAAAGGACAAAAGACAAGCCCATAATCAGGGGAGCAGCCCCTGGGGAATTCCAATTTTGCTTGTTTGCACTCTGTCACCTCCTGCACTGCCTAAGGAGGCGACTGTCCCTCTGCTCGAGGGCGATGATGCAGATAGGACTAGCGGATCCAGCCTCTGGTGTCTGATTGTTGCAAGCTGGGAAGCGAATTGTTGGAGTCTGCCAAGAGCGTTGCTAAACTGATCGGTAACACAGGCTGGAGTCTGCCCAGGAGAGTCCTTTCTTCTGTTTATCAGAGGAGAATATAGGCTTTTTTATGAGTCCATTTGAAGTGATTAATTGTTGTGACTGTTCAGGGAAAAAACAAATTCAAAACGACAGATACCTTTCATTGCCTGGAACTAACAAGGAAAAAAAAAAAAACCAAAGTGCCTAACCACAGCCAGCCGCTCTGTGTAGTTACGTTTAGTTGATTTAGCAAAGCCAGAAAGAGATTTGTATATAGGAAGGACAGAGATCACCTGCTAACAACACAGAACAAGCCAAAACTATGTCCTTGAAAAAAAATTCGTGCAGTTGTTTAACTCGAAATCCCCTTTCTCCAACCTTGCCAACAGCTGTCTCGGAGGGTGTTACCTTACCTGGCAGGGCAACCTTGTGCGAGCTAAGGGAGGAAGGTCTTATGTGGAAGCGTTGTGTCATACACACAACATTAGAGATACCATCAATTTATCAGAAAAGGTAATGGGAACAAGGAAGAACAGCAGCTGCAGAAAATAGAAGGAGAAATTAAAGCTAGATCCTGCCTGCTTTCTGCTGGCACAAGCCAAAAATTCCTGCAGCCGGTGAAAAGGTCAACTATCTTCCAAGATTAAGCAGGCTCGTTGCAGGGCAGAATGCGCCCCATCTAATTTCGTCAATCCTTGCTTAAACTCTGAGGTTCAAACCGAGGATCAGAGCACGCATATTGTTGAAACCAGCCTTTTGCAAAACCCTGTATGGCTAGAAATGTGTCTATAGCTGGTGAACACACTCCCTGCCTCCACCACTGACCCTCCAGCAAACACCTACCTAAAACCTTTTCAGGAGCAAAGTTAATTGAAAGCAGCCTGTCCTGTTCACAAAAATCTATATTTTTTTGCTGTAGGACTATTACGCCAGCACAATTTAAGCTGACTTCAACCAAGCTTAATCCCAAGCTAGTTTGGAATAAAAATTTCTTTCACCTTCTAGCATAAAAGAAATGCAAAACAAAAACAACGCGGGAAAGTAAATTGGGGTTTTAGTGGTTTTTTTTTTTCAATAAGGAGATATGTAGCTGCCAGCATGTTGTCTAATTCTGAAAGGTAAGTGATGCTTGCTCTGTTAGCAGGGTTGGCAGTGCGGACCTTCATATGGATGCACTGCAGGGTCACAGCTGCATGCCGAGCCCGTGGCCGAGCCCATCCCCTGCGATGTGGTAGAGTCACACTCTCGAGTAGGGACATCGAGCAAGCAACGACATGCACGAAGCGTGGCATCTGCCAACTCAGCACCCAGCTTGCCCTTACATTTCAAGCACCAAATGGAGCTTTCCTAAAGCAAATACCCAAATTCCGGAACTGATGGAGACAAGTTGGTGCCTTTGGAGGCTTCCACGGGGAGATCATGTTTAGGGCACTCTTAGGTTTAGATGTGCGAGTCCTGCAGACTGAGCCCTACTTCAGTGGCCAAAATGTGCCACGCGGCACTCGGCCTCGGTAGCCAGATTGCACCGGGGGCTGCTGTAACGTGGGGGGCATTGGGGGGGGGGGCTCCACAATGGCATTGCTGGACCTGGTCCCCAGCTGAGCCTCTCCTCTGCTTTTGAGCATTTGGGGATGTGGTTGCATCTCCTTCTGCCGCTGGCTGCTGTGCCCCATGCAGGCTTTCGCCTGTGCTGCTAGCTCACCCCAAGGCACCCCGGGGAGACGATGGGCACCTGGGGCCCAGCGACCCGCCCCCTCCTGGCCTGGGACCCTCGGGATGGCTGTCAGCACACAGCAGCCCGCAAACAGCTCCTGATCCACCAGCTCCCTTGCTCCTTCAGTTTCTCCTCTTTCCCAGCCCACTGCGACAGCCAGGCTTTCTCTCCCACCACTGCGTGGTCCCTCGGGAAGGGGCAGCCAGCACCAGGCTCCTCCGGCTTTCCAACCAACGAGTACAAATACTGCGTTTTACCCCACAGCCTCAGCCACTTTAGTCCTAAACCTGACAACAAGGATCTCATTGATTCAAAGAAAGTCACTTCTGCCTCTAGCTGCCCTGATGGCAAACCTGTTTCCTTAAGAGTTAAATGTTCATAGGCTGACTTTTACAGGTAGCCCTTGAATTACAGTTCCCATAGTCTGGATTTTATGGCACAAGTGCCATCCAACCCGTGCTCTGACTGCTCTGTCAGTGAAGGGCCCGTCCACTTGTTGTTATCCAATTGTACAGTCATCTTTCATGTGAGTTGAGATTTAAGTTTCACTGCTCTTCAGGGTCCGAGTATGTGCAGAGGGAGTTTTGTAGTCATTTTTTTCACGGGAACTTCCTTTCGCTAAACACCACCCCTTGGCAGTGGACCTGCTGACACCTCATAGCTAGGCACAGATAAAAAGGGCAGCTGTCTTCCTTCTGCACGTTCAGCAGCAAGTGGCCTAAGAAACCACTGGCATCGCAGACGCTTCGACTCAAACACCAGCAAGAAACATGAGCCAGCAAGCTGGTGAGTTTTTAATGATCAATATGATTTAAAGATAACGTGCGTTAGATTTGTGGCTTGGCAGCCAGGACTGGCGCTCCAGGAGAAGTTGCAGGCTTTCCCATTGCGCTGGGTGCTGCGGAGGAGACCTTGAAGGAAAGTGTTTCTGTGCAGCTGGGGAATAGCTCCTTCTCGGGGATGGGCTTGTTCTACATGTGCACATGGTGGCTGTGTTGGACTGGTAAACCAGACTGAAAAATGCAGCCTAATTTGCGTCATTTTTCACCCTGGAGAAACCTGGCTCCCTCAGTGTTATAGCAGAAAAGAGATGCAGTCTTTAGAAAAGCTCTGTGTCTGGCTGAAAGGATTTTCTTTCTTTCAGGCTCCTTAACCGGGTAGGTTATTGTTCGTTAGTGATGGCTGACATCACCCGACAAATGTTTCAAAACAAATGAGGAGTGATTGCTTTGGCATTGAGCTCTCCCCCAGGGTGGTCCTTCCTTCCCTATGGCCAGGAGATCCCGCGCCTGCTTGGAAGGGTGCTTCAGCCACCCCCGCTGCAGCCACTGGACCGCGCTGGCTAACGGGGCCCATGGGGCGCGGACGACCCA